TGAACCTGAGCCCCAAACCCTAAACCCTAAACCTAAACCTTAGACCCTAGGCCCTAAACCCTGTCCACACCCAACATCCGAACGGCAGGGATCCGACGACTCGGTCCTGTCTCCCAGGGAGCTGCAGCGCCATCAGGCAAGGGGTCCTGCTGTTTTTGCATCCATATGTTTATGATGTCATCAGTGCTGGGATACTAGGCGACGAGGATAATGCCGATCGTTTTTGTTGGATTATTGGCTTCCTCTTCCCGGATTTAGCATTCGGGTGCTTTGCTTCGGGTCTCAATCATGAGGTTTGGGGATTGTTGGGTAGGGCTTCGTGGCTTGGGGGTTTAGGGTTTAGGGGTTTAGAGTTCAGGGGTTTGGGGTGTGGGTGCGGTTATCTGGTTTGGACTTGATCTTTGCTACGGTTCTGTGATAGGCGAGTGCAAGCCATTGTGGCCATTATGCTAGGGTTCTGGGTTCAGGGCATTTGACTGCACTCTGAAGTTACTGTTATAGGAGCCTTATAGAAGGTCTATTTACCTTATGGAAGCCTTATAGAAGCCCTATATACCCTAAACTCCCCACCTGTAATTCAATATTGGCATCATCGCATGAACAATCAGATGCTGATCCCCTGACATTGCAGCTGCGTTGCTGGCATGCGAGGCATGCAACAGGGGTTCCTCATTTATGTCATTGTGACACGTTCAATTCTGATGTTGCTCTGCTCCTCTTCCAGTTCTTTCCAGATATTTACACGTGAGCATTTGTTATTCGCACGCTTCCATCTTGCACTGTATGAGCATGGCGCTGTACTTTCATGCCATAAACGTAAACACCAATGCAGCTCCTCTAGGAATGTGCTTTTGACCTTACCTGCTGCAACAGATACGGATGGCATCGCATTAAGAAAGATATACCCTTAACAGGCAAAGAAGCAAACCCTAAACCCTGATTCTAGTAAAGGGGCCTTAGTAATTAGAATATGGTTCGGGGTTTATTATACTATAGTGGCCCATACATTACCCACCTCTACCGCTCAATCCGTTCATCTGGCGTGAGCCCCCCAATCTATTCAGATTCCTCGGCCCAGAGAGCCCAGAGAGCCAGAAATCCTTGGTTTAGATATACATGCTTATGTACATTATATATATATATGTATACATATATATATATATATATGTATCTGTGTATATATATATATGCACATATAGAGTACGTTTTCTGTGTATGTGTATATATATATATAAGATGTGGAAGGAAAGACGGGTACATGGATGGTTGGATAGATACAGTAATAGAAAGAGAGCCATCGGACGGGCTGTGAGATCAATAGATGTTAAGCCCCATAAACCTTAGTATAGGGGCCTTAACATTTACCAACATTAGATTGAGGGTTCCTTACTACAAGTATAGTATAATGGGCCCCCAAACCCTATTCTAATTATTAATCCCCCAACATTAAACCCTAAACCCCTAAACCCTAAAACCTTAAGACTTTTGGGCTTGTCAGGAAGCGCTGCTGGCCCGAAGTGCAAAGTTCAAGGAGCAGCTGGCAGAGGAGGAGTCCTGACAGTGTGGGTTTAGGGTTTCGGGGTGTGGGCATTAGCTACCTATAGTCCCCATGGTAGTGCCTTTTTTTGGGTTTATATAACCAGTTATATATTAAGGATTTCATAAGGTATCCCCAGAAAGGAACTACAATGGAGGCTATAGGTAGTATTTGGGCAGTAGTATTTCGAATATGCTCGCATGTATTTCGTTGCCCCATTATGTAGGTCAATGTAGGTGGCAATGTCGGTGCTCCACCGAGCTGTTTCCATTCAGAAGGCTCAGGGAACAGTGGATGGCATCATAAATATCGTAATTAGGGTTATAGCAGTTTCAAGTGTAGTCACTAGAATGATGCTTACCAAGTCCGTTGAGCCTTTAAGTAGACCCTCACACCCGTAAAACCCGATGAAGAAACCACAGAGCCCTGCAGTCTCAAGCCATTGACTCGCAATTTACGGTCTAGGACCCTAAACCCTAAGGGTTTGGAGTCATAGCCCTAAGGCCCTAGATCCGACGTCCTGAGCATCCGCACCTTTATGTGCCGAAAGCAATGGAAAGCCTTAAAGCCATAAATGCCCCATTCCAGACAATGCCTGGGGGCTTGTCTCGCAGCCAGTATATCTATAGTACCGCCCCAATGTGTATATATGTATGTGGTCCCCACTAATTACTAATATTCTTCCCTGACGTTCCTTAATATGTTTATGTGTAGTTAAAAGGTGACTGTACAGCACATCCGAATACTCTACTCAATTCTATGTATTTCGTACTGTATTGATTAATAGCATACTAACCATATAGGTTCTGTGCAGCCCAGTAGCTCATAATTTGGCAACTGGAAGCCTGAACCTACAAAACCCCAGGCCTGAATCCTACATGACGCTCCATGGAGCTTTCGGACGCTCGGATAGTGCAGACGCTAAGGGATAAACCCTAGGCCCTAATATAAGGAAGAGGCCAACATCACCATGAAACGGGAGGGGTGGACGCTGGAGTGCTGACACAGGAAGAGACCTGGAGCAGACCACGTGGCGCACCCTCAACGCCCAGATCCAGGACATGCTGCAAAGCGAACTGCAAGAGGAACTCAAGTTCTTCTGGGCCAGAAGAGGAAGCTTCCTCTGTGGCAGTGACCAGCCGAAACGGAAGGAGAGGGATGTGGATGTGCAGCAGGGTCATCGTGACGATCGGGGATCATCAGGTCTGAGAGGGTTTTACGGAAGTGGATTCTGGATGAAGGATGCGCCATCAGACGGAAAAAGGCGTTCAACAAAAAAAACTAAACCCTAAACCATTCTAGACCATAAAGCTTAGACCCTGAACCATAAACCCCTACATGATGCAAGGAACTCTGCAGGAGTACTACGTGGTATTAGGGAGACCCCTTTGAGGGGACCCTTCTTAAGCCTACGTATGGCTCTCTTAAGCGGGACCTTAGTAAGAGGGTCTATATCCTCAAAGTCCCCCTAATCCTACAGTAGAAGCCCCAAATTGGAAACCCAATAGCCTCAATCCCTAAAATGTATAGGGAATCCCAGCACCTAAACCCTAAGCCGCTAAACCCTAGACCCTAAACCCTGAACCCCTAAAACCC